CCCTCTCTCCCGCGGGGTTTTTTGGGGGGGAAAATCGTTTCCGAATTGGGGGGGGCCCCGCAAAAGGGGGGAGGCTTAGAAGTAGCAGCCCGAAAGTACGGGGGCTTACATGGGGGGTGTTTTTTCTTTGGGGGGGGGGCGTTTGGGGAAAAAAACCGTCCCCCGCACCAAAAAAAAAGGCCCCCAAAAAAGGGGACCCCCCCCCCCCCCCGCCCCCCCCCGGGGGGCACCGAGCCGCCGGCGGCCCCCGGGGGCGCCCGGGGGGACCCAAACTTTTTGGACAACCCTCCGGTCCGGGAAGGCCCAGGAAATTTGAACCCCCCAACCCCCCCCCCCCCCCCTCCCCCGCCGCCCGGGTACCCCCCCCCCCTTCCTACGTCCATGTCCGCAGGAGGTGGAGGTAGCCCCCTGGCAGCATCCATCTCCGGCATCCCTACGACAACTCCTCCCGGCCCTCGCGAAGAGTCCCCCCCCGGAACCCCCTGGATGTGGGCCTGGGCCGCCTGCAGGTGGTGCACCGCTGCCGCCGCCGCCGCCGCCGCTGCGTGACTGCCGGTGCCGGCTCCGTCCCCCTGGATCTGCGCGCGCGCCGCGCCGAAGGCTGCGGCGGACATGTGCATCTCCCCCAGGCGCATGTGGGTGGCAACGTCGGTGGGCTGTTTCGCACGGACGGTTCGTCGTGTACAACGTGCAACCGAGCGGAGAGAGGAAACAAAACGCAGGAGTTTCTGTATTCAGAAAGTGGCACGAGAAAAGTCAGTTTTTTTTTTTTTTTGTCTTCACTCCAAATCAGCCCTCACAGCACTAGTGTCGTTTTACTCCGACCCGTGGTCACACAGAAAGAGCCCCTCTCTACCCTCCCCTCCTGCGGTACTTTGCCTTCGATTTTTAATGCGAGAAGAGTTCAGCACTCTCTTCCCTCTGTGTACACACGAACTAGCGATATCCACTAGGCCAGGAGTGGAAGCGAGAGAAAAATTCACTATGCAAGAAAAGCTCGCTTACGCCGGGATTCGAACCCCTGACCTGACCTCCAGAAGGTTTCGAGGATACCAACTATAATAGACCACCGGGGCGACCGGTTTGGGGGGTGTTGTAAGAAGCAGGGAAGGCTACAAGGGAAACAAAAAAAGACCTGCCGCATGTGTTGAGAGCGTTCACATAGAAGGTGATGTATTATGGTAAACCCGGCGTGACGTTCAGGGTAGATAGCTATGGCTTCGGTGGCAGCGTCTGCTGCTGCTCAGGTTAACCACCGTGGGACTGACTGACACTACTCTTACTGTACCCATCACTTCAGGTGACCGTAACCACCCATAGCGACCTTCATAATCGCTGTGGGTCTGTCTTATCAACCGATACTCTACCCATCAATTCAGGACCCTACACACCCTTGGTGACGTTCCGCATGGCACCAAAACAACCTGGGCCAAACAAACACGGGTGGGAGTACTGTACACGGGAGTTGATTGCCCTCTCGCCGTAGCAAGCTAGCTTCTTGGGGCCGACCCGACCCCGTCCGCCTGCTGGTCGAAATCCCCTCCTCGTCTGCATACCCCCCCCTTCAATCTCGTCTGCATACCCCTTCCCCCCCTCCCTCCCTCCCTCACCCCGAGGCTCTTCTCCCAGTGACCTCTGGCCTGCACCACTAGCTCGGGCTCCGAATCGCTGCCCTCTTCCTGGCTCATGAACCTCGGCCCGCTGCCGTAGATCTTGCGGCTGTAGCACGGGGGGCATGGCGGCACGACCCCCCTCTTCACCTGGGCGTGCCAGGTGCATGACGCCATTCAGCCAGCGGGTGTGGGAACGCGTGAGGGAGGGTGGTTATACATGTTTGCTGTCCGGGGGTGTTGGCTCGGCAGGGTTTTCTTTGAAAAAAAACAACACAAATGGTCGGGGAACGGAGATACCAAAGGGATGGTGCTGTACCTACCCCGTGGTGGACAATGCTGTGCACCGCTTGGAAATTAACCTCACGTCCGAAATGATGGTGGGAGCAGCAGTAACGTTGCTCCTCCTGGACCTCGAGACAAACGGCGTTGGTCTCTGGTTCGCGTTTTATTGTCCGATGGAAACACCAAACTTGAGCCGGAACAGGCATCATGATAACCCCAAGGCGCTTTCCTGTGTAGTACCTTGAGTGTATATACAAACGCCCCAACAAATCGATCCAGCTCTAAGTGGCCACATCAAGCCAAAATCCACACAGAGAAGAACCTGAACGAGCCCATGGCCGCAATCTCGGCTAGTGGACATGATGGAAAAGGCAAACCCTGTAAGCGTAGCGTAGCGCACCTCCGTCAGCTTCTCCGGGCTGTCCCTCAGGAATGAAGGGTGCATGTAGCACCCAGACTCGCGGCCCTTAACCACCTTGCGGAAGCCGTAAAGGTTGAGCTGCCTCTGAAAGCTGCTGAACTTGTTGTCTATTTTCCGTCGGGGTCGTGGGAACCAAAACGCGACGTGACCAAATCGTCAGGGCAGGGACAACAGGAAGAAAGAGTCTCGCATATTATCTGGGAAAAAGTTTTCTTTGTGTGTGTGTTTGGTGCCAAACGCTGCTGCTCCTCATGTTGTATGTCAAGAATCGAAAGTGAGCTACGAGAAGAGCGTCGAACAGGGTGTAGGATAAACAGGCAGAGAGGGGACACGTACAAGAGGGACTCGGCTAGCATCACCTCGCAGCAAATGGAACGCAAAACGGGCCTACAAGTGCAGCAGCAGCACTTCCAGGACAGCATCACTCCGCACAAGGGTGGTCGATGAAGAGTTCCGCAGGGGGGATGGGGGGGGGTAGCATCATCGTTTTGCGTCTGTTTCAGGATTAAGGCCGACAAGCTTATTTCAGGACAGCGGGAAACATACATGAGACACTTCACGAGCAGCAACACATGTGCGCAAAGCCAAAACGAAAGCGTTTCGTGTGTACTCACGCTTGAAGTAGCACGTCAGCACGTCCTGTCGAAACGACGCCATGTCGCGGATTCCGAAGGCGGTGCCCGTGCTGGTCCACATGACAATCGACGAGGACTCTTTCTGCAGGACACGACAAGGCAAGACGGAAATGACCCGAGAACATTGGTGTAGCGATCGCAAGTTGGGCAGGGGGGTCAAGCATAGAAAGGCACGGGTGTGTGTATGTGTGTGTGTGGAGCGTGGAAGCCTTAACAGACAACAACATAAATCTGCAAACAGTGTTGTTGTTGGGGTCGTTGTCTTCAACATCAAAAACTGTTCCGATTTCTGCTCGGGTTCAGTATTCAGTTACCGCCTGCGGTTAAGTACTGCTAGTTTTGGCCTAGGCTGGAGTTTATGGTTCCTAGGGTATGGACTCATCCGAAAATCACTTCACAAATGATTGTTTGAGTGCTTTGTAGTTCTTTCTATTCAACTCACACAACGCGGACAAACAGCGAGCGAGCCAGAGCCATGCCGAACGCGTACTCGCATGCACGCATGACTGCTACGTGCTCTACTTGTCTTCTTCAATTTTTGGGAGCCTTAAATTTCCTGAAGACAACAATCGCTGCGTGTGTGATATATCCACACGCCATGATCCACTACAGCTGTATAACGCAGCTCTAGATCATTTAACAAGCAGGTGGAAGTACAGGTCTATTCCGCGTCGCTGTCAGAGATACTTGCAGACATCAATTGTTGACTTGCCGTGTACCTTGAGAGACTACAGGTGATGGGAGACATGCTGAAAAACGGGGCGTGGCTTCCCCGAAATGTACTCGCAGGTCTTGATCGTAGAGACGGGAGATAAGAGCATTTCAGGCATCATAGGGTTTCATGTGTTGGGGCCATCATCTAGAAAACACGAAAATCCATGGCATCAAAAGAAGTTACAATGTGCCGGCTCGAGATATCCATAACCCACGTTCGAACTACTGTGTTGGGTTTTCGACTTTCATGGAAAGCGTTCACGGTTCACGGTTTCTGTTTCGTAGGCACGCCATCCCGTGACTAGGGTTGCAAGACATCTCTCTTCACACTCGACCTCCTCCTGTACAAAACCACACGTGTACTGCTGTAGATTGCGTGCACACCATGCCTCCGTAGATTCAAGAAGCTTTGCGTGTGGTGCCAATCTCAACCTTTACCATACTGCTGTTGTCTACATAACCCCGTTTGATATGGTGCCCGGTGCTCGCTACAGAAAGCGGTGGGAGGTTGAAAAGACTTCATGATACCTACCGGCGAGAGGTTCTCACGGGTGTACATGCGTAGAAATCTTTTACCATGACAGTTGATGTCGTAGGTGTCGGGTGTGTAACGCATCATCACGTGCGCATAGCGTTTCATGTTCGGGCGTGGCTTCGATCACTGTGCTGCGATGTCGCTCTTACTTAAAAAAGTGCGCAGGTTAGCCACCATATGGGAAACGTGTTGAAGGGAGTGTCTCCGGTCGGGTGTGGCCCCCATCATGCACACAAGGTTCGATGGACGCCATGTACAAGGCGATCATGGCAAATTTCAGTGTCGATTCGCTTACAATATTTAGTTTCCCATATGGTATCGGAGAAGAAGACGGAGACACTCCTGATGCGCGCGAAGGACAAGCCGACTACAACACCACAGCCCCCCCCGCCTCCACCGCTGACCATCGAAGCCGCGGGACAGAAATACGCCCAGACGACCGAGTTCCGGTACCTCGGTGGCCTCGTCAACGAACATGGCGACCTCACCCGGGAGATCAACTACAGGAGCAGAGGAGCGTGGGCGTGCCTCAGGCGATATAGCCAGGAGCTCTTCGACAGACCGAAAGCGCCATTCCGACTCAAGATCCGCCTCCTCCAGGCGGAGGCGATGGAGGCACTGCTGTACGGCTGCATGACATGGTCACCACTCAGCGGCCACTACCAGACGCTGAGGTCGATACACCACCGACTGCTCCTTCGAGTTATCGGGTACAAGCGCAAGAAAGATACCTACCGGCAGCTTTCCTACGCCCAGACGCTGAAGAGGGTCGGATGCCAGAGCGTTGAAACCACGATCCGACAACGACGCCTACTGTTCGCGGGAGCATTGGCAAGGCAGCCAGACGGGCGACTCCCGAAACGACTGATCATCGGCGAACTGGCGGAGGGGGAGAAGCGACGTCGGGGGGGGACAGGAACAGAACTGGCCGAAGTGTGTGCTCGACGACTTGAAGGCATTCGGGGCCGACCACGGATCTACGAAAACCGATCCTTGTTGTCTCGGAATCCCGGTACCGAAAGACACGGCACTGAAGTTAAAGTGGACGGAAGCCGTGAAAGTGGAGGGGGGAGTACCCTGGCATGCGGCGGTGCTGCAGGGAGCTGAGAGGTTCATGACCTTCTGGCACAAGAAGGAAGAAGAGGCCAGCCGACCACGAGCGCTCAAACGAGACCACAAGCCAACAACCAATGGGGCGGGGAGGGGGGCAGGAGACCGACGAGACGGCGAGGGAAGAAAGTAAACGAGAAGAGACGGACCGAGTGGCGTGATACGTGCCGGATTGAATTTCTTGTAGCCAAATCCCCCCCCCGACGCTGCACCATTGCACCAACCCCCCACTAGTGATGACGTACCATTACCATGTATCGCTGGTTGGTGGCCATGTTTGCGTGTTTGCTTGTTCGTTAGTGGTCTCCCCACCGTGTGCCTTATTGTGTTTCTTATTTCTTGTTATTTTCGGCCTGGTCTCCTTTTGTCCTCGCTCTTTTTCGTTTTCGTTTTCTGTTCTCTTTTCTTCTGTTTCCTGTTGTTTTTTTTCTCTTTTTCTCTCTTTTTCTGTGTCAGATGGCCTTGTCTCTGCTTGCGTGTGAAGCACCAAGATTGAACCAAGGGGGTGTACCTCTTTCTCTCTGCCCCGTGATGCTGACTCCTAGTCTCAGTTGTTACCTCGCATGGCGTGCAGAGGGAGCGGAGGACTCCAGAATATCTGTCGTTGATTTCTATTGACTTGCGGACCCCTCGGGGCCAGTTTGTAAGCGTACATTTTAAGGGTAAGTAAGCCTGTGACCACGGGAATCGACCGCGTCAAGTGTTGGATCAGTACGGACATATGAAGGTACTGGGTAGAGAGAGATCGGAACGGTTTTTAATGTCAAGACAACAACAAACAACAACAAATATCGTGGCTAACCTGCGCACATTCGTCAAAAGCATGTACATAGGGAAGCATGGCGTGGTATGCGACAGAACGCACCATATGGCTTTTTGGACGTTGACTACAATAAGGGTGGGCCCATCGCGGTGCACTTGTACACCCGGAGATTGTCTCAAGGCCTATGCAACCACCTTGCTCTAACACACAACGATGGTCTCAGCTGAGCCATGGACAACCATATGCACGGATCATGCGTGCAGAGCCCGCCTGTATGTACAGAGCACTGCTGCTGTGTGCTGTGTCCGATTCTGATAGCAAGCACATCACGGATATCTACTGCTGGGTCCCTATGTACATCGATTAGACTCATGCTGCTGCCTTGTGGCTGGTGTGCACGACAAGAGAAAGGGACGGGATGGGTTAGCGAAAAAACATCGCTCTTTCGAACAGCAGGCCGAAGAGACCATTTACGTATCGATCGGTTTGGATACCACGAACAAATGTATCTACGTGTGTGTCGGGCTGTCGGCACTTCGTGGGCGGCGATATTTGGTTGCGGCAAACAGCACACAAGCTTGATTGGTGGACCGGCTGAACGGCTGGACAACTCAACGGCAGGGGGGGGGGGGGGGGGTTCGACTACACAACTGCCGTGTCTGTGTTTTCCTTTGTTTCGCTTTGCTTAGGTGCTTTCTACTTTTTCCACAGGTGCTACAGGTATTTTACAATTTGTAGTGTCTCTTTCTCGGCGTTCGTCGGTCATTGAGAAGCAGCTAGGGCGTACCGTGCGCTGCTGCGCCAACTCCCCGAGAGGTCAGACGGAAGTTGTTGTCTCCAAAGTGCCTCAAAAGAAATTCTCTCCAACATCTCTGTCTTGGTCTGATCGAGGCACCACCGGATACACGTACACACGGGGTGTACAGCAGATAACAATAGCGCGACCAACAACAACCCGGTCACACATAGCAGCGGCTGGTCGACACGGTACATGGGGGAACACGTTTCGAGTTGGGATGTTGGGATGCACGCAGACACCGATAGGCACCAAGGACACACCTCCGTGGGCCAGATGATCAATCAAACAAGGGCGCCGATTTTGTCTTGTGCGTCACAACCCTAGAGCAGCTTGTTGTAGTTACCCCATTCGAGTCGTTCCGCCCGCCGGTGAACCTTGTGTTGCCTCGAGGGTGTCGTGCGGCCGGCAGTTGGCGACAGGCAAGCAAGCCTGACCGCGCGCTGTCTCTCTCTCAATACACACGCGAAGAAAGTCACAACGCTCGCACTCACATTGAGCAAGTCGTACAAAATGTACGGGAATCCCGTGCCTGCGCTCATGGTAGATACCTCGGCCGCTCACCACCAAAGCGTGTCTCCGATACCGACTCTGGGCACGACAGCCTCGTCAAACGAGCCGTTCTGTGTCGTCGAACTGCCAGCCGCGCAATACCCGCACCCCTCCTGACCCCCCCCTCCGGTGTGTCACGGACTTGTTGCAAGTGGACACAGCAGTAGGAAGGCGTCGCAAACCAAAACAAGACGAGATCCAGCCAGACGTCAGTCTTCCCGAGCGAAGAAGAGATGATGAGCGGAAGAGAGCGAAGCGAGGTTGGTCGTTGATGCCATGCGCACACTACTTTTAGTTGTTGGCGTGTTCGTTCTACATACATCACGGAACACAGCCGTGGGGCGACGTGAGCATTCCATGGGCCATTGGGACCCAGATTTCGAAAAACTGGAGGGCCGAAAATTTCTGACGCCGGAAAACTGCCGTAAACATGTGCATAGGAACGGAGCCAACACAATTCGTCAGAGCAGTGGAAAAACAAAATTACCTAGGGAGGAGCCAATTCTCCCCTCCCGTCTGTGGCTCGGCTGAAGAAAGGGTCGATCAGGTGACTTCAACCTATATACATGTATGTGTGTTATGCGCCCCAATATACCCCACAACAAACAAAGCAGTGCGGGGTATGATGCAATCGATCCTAGCTCGGCATTTATCTGCGGAGCCCCCTCTCTCTAGTTTCTATTCTATTTTCAGGTGTATTTTTTAGGAAAAATCCAAAATACAACTTCAGAAGTATGAAAAACAGGAAGAACAAGATTCATAAATTCGAGAGCGGGCCCACATTTAAATTCCCAAATTAGTATCCTGCCATGGCGGCGGCGGGTGATCCGTTATTTTTTGCGGTGTGACGTGTGTCCGGTGTCATATGCATGTCATACGTCATGCTAGGATGCGAGGGGGGGTCTGTTGGAACGTACATTAGCAGGCGTAGGTACAGACGAAATCTGAAGGTATGTCTACATATATATATGTATGTATCTCGTGGTCCAGGATTGCTGTTCGGAGAGAGAGGCAGGTAGCCGACGGTCTCTCAAAAATACTCGGTCAATTAGTATCTCCCGTTGAGCAGATAGTCTACCGCATAATACATGCACGAAACGACTCCACCTCAACATGACTGCTGTGGGTATATCTCGAACGGGTTGTCTTTCTGTGTGTGTATTTATTTTCCCTTATAAATATGAGACGGTTGTCTCCAGGTTCGCGTGTGAGCAAGTTCCCTTTGGGATGTGTGGTGTGGATACACACCGGTTAAACCTCTGGTGGAGAGGCTGACGAGTACGGATAGTTGTGTTGTGAGTCAAGGGGGGGAGCAACCTTGTGTTGAAGCAAGGTTCAGCATCCATCCGACACTGACTCTATCTGTGGCAACACCCCGAAAGTAGATCTCCGACAGGTCATCTGACGTCACAATCTACTACAGTCTGAGGTGGCATTCACATAAAATGTTATCACATATTGAGTAGAAGAACTGGCACCATTTGTGCCCTACACCAAAACCGTGTATGCATACATATGTAGCGCTATTTGGTAGCCCAGCCTAGCCCACAAGAGGAACTGAGAACCCCAGCGTCGGCCAACACTACTAGCGGGCGCCATGTGTAACGTATGTAGTGTACTTCATTTTAGTCAACGCGGCTGTGGCATGCCACCCTGCCACATTGGACTCACGACGATATACTGTGCTCTGCAGTAGTAGCGGTGCTAAACATCGCATCAAGCAGAAGTATATTTTGTCGATGAGGCACTCTTCACGGTTAGGTATAAGTCTCACGTCCTAAAACAATGTCGCACTCCCTGCTGGTGGCTACACGTCAAAGAGTGTAGCGCGGGGGGGAGGGTTGGGTAGGGGTGAGTAGGTGCGGAGCCTCCTGTGGCATCCTCCATTATCGATCTACCCGAGAGGCTAGTTGCCATCCGTGCTATCTTTCGGTTCCCATTGCCAGAAAACAAGAGATCATACATGATGAGCACTTGAATGCTTATACTTCGTAGAACCCAAGAAGAACAGGGCACAAGGATGCGAGAAAGCCCGAAAAATCCACAACTTGCATTGTTTCCAGCCATGACAATCTCACTTTCACACACAGGTCGGGGTGGTTGTCCAACGGCATCTATTTTTACTTTGTATCCTCTTCGCTTGACATGGACCAAGCACGGTGGAGACATGAGACCATCCATCCTGTGAGGCCAACAATGAACGCCACCCACAATGGCCGATCGTGACACCAAAATGAATCCCTTCTGTTTCCTTGAACTACATAGGGTTGGCAATCCCATCGACAAGAAGGTGATGGCGATGTTGTCCATGTTGCATCGTCCTTTCTCCAACGGCGCACTCCTCGTCACCCAACAACCTTACAAATATCGGCAACAAGGAGAATAACAAGTGGGCGGCAGCAAGAACAAAATGTACTCCCAATTCCTGCCGCAGTTACAACCCCGCCCCAGACCTACAACAGTGACAAGCGCGTCCAAGCACAACAACCTGGAGCTGACCGCTGCAGCAGTGCATACCCAGGCACAGGCAGGGCTGCTCTACAGTTTCCCGACGTTTCGTTCGATTTCCTCCTGAGCCTTTCTAAGGCTCTCGTCCGCTTGTTGGAGCATGAGAAGCTCCTTCTCTTCTTCGGAAGCACCGGGTGCCGCTTTCTTTGACCCGCTTGCCTGCGGGCCAAACAAAGAATTGCGTGAGACCGGTCAGTCAACCAGCAGTCAAGGCCTCACGGCGATGGATGGATGAGGAACGATCACTTCTCCGCCAGAGAACAAGCAAGAATGGTGGCATGGGCTTTTAATCTGCTGCGTTTAAGTACACAGGTGCAGGTCTTGGCTGAGCTCTTGTCTTGTCGCACATAAATACGCGAATCATGAGAGAACACGGCTCCTTGGCAACACTTTCCGAAATAGTAAAAAACTTAAACGTGTTGCTGAAATTGTTGCCTGGTTCTACAAACACAGGGCGTGGTCGGGGACACGACCATGGACAAGGTGTAGGCGTCACAGCAGTGGATGTGCCGCACGCTGGGCACAATGAAATACACCAATAGAGCACAAACGGTAGGGAACACGACGTCTAAGCGCGTCGAAACCGGGCCGTCTTCGCACTCAAGTACACGAACGAACGACGCCCAGGCGAAACCACCCCTGGCATGAATTCCTTCCATCGCTCCATCGAAAAGCACCGTGGTGCTACTGTACCCCATTGGACCGCACGAACCTCTGGCGAAGGGTCCAGCTCGCCCTTGGCCACGCCCACCGCAACAATCGCCGCCATTACGCCCATCCCCAGAGCCGTGACGCCGAAGATGCCAGCGCCAAGAGCGAAAAGCCCCACCACCGCCTGCGTCACAAACGCGTACAAGTCGGTCGGATTGATGCGTTAAAAACCTACGTGCACGTCGGGATCACGACGACGAGAGTGGTTTTTATACATGATGAGAATCCCACAACGCTGGAAAAATCGACGTCCACCTATCGCCAAAATAAAATAAAATAAAAAAGTAAAAAAAATCACAACGTCGGAGAGCTAAACGCTCTCATTGGTGCACTCAATCAACCCAGGAACATGGGGTCATGACGGCGCTTCGATTGTTGTTGCACACCAATGTTGCACACCAATATGGCCCCTGGGGAAATCGTCATTTGTTCTCTTTGTTGCTTCCGTGACGACCTCAACACAATCGTTCAAAACTCGGGGAACTCAAGAAGGGATTGTTTCGGGTAGGCCAGTGCAAACAGAGCGTTCCCAAAGAAGCTGGCATTGTATCGGTTGGTAAAAGGAGGGGATCACCAGCGCCGTGAAAAAAGGTATCACGTTGCTTGGTACACATCTTGTTTTCGTTCAAAGCGAACACTACCAAAGGTTGGTTGCCGAAAGAGGGAGGGAAAATCAGCAACCTTTGTAAGTTGAAGGACGACACTGACCTGTTTGATGAACGATGTCATGCGAGCCACAGCTAGAATATCGCTCTCTTCCGCGGGCTTGCTGTAGTACGCCTGGGCTAGCCAGAGCGTCGCCTGCGGCGCCATTGGCCAACAAGCGCCATACGCAACGGCAAAGTCAACCGCCGTAAAAAATCAGAGTTAACGTTGTTGTGGCGTGCCGTGTCGAAGACCCATAAAAAAACGAGCAGCTGCATCGATATCGGACATAAATTGCGTAGGTGGCAAGTTACCGGCGTTCGGTTTTGTTGCCGTTGTCTCCGACCTCCAACGTACAACTCCCTCTGGGGCCGAAAGAGCAAAAAAAAAGCGTAATCAACCTCGACACAAGGGAAACCTAGATGCTGTTCGTTCGATTCTACATCAGTAGCCCCTGAATAACCTCCGCTCCTCTCCAAAGCCCTTCCTTGGCATGAAACCTGGCCTCACGGACAGCTATGAAACAGTCAACATTCTGGTAGAACAACAGGGTTATTTGTGGGTCAGCCGTTCCGCTTGAGTCACCTTCCAGGACCCGAAAGACATTGCCGCGGCGCCCCCAGCACCCAGAATCGCGTAGAATGGATTGACTCCGTTCAAGTCCTCCTCTTTTCGCTTGATCTTCTTGCTTTCCTCTGTTGGGATGACGATCCCTTTGCCCTGCGTGACCGCAGTCATGTTTCAACATAACGCAACGGCAGCCAGCATTTTCTGCAAACGGCAGGGTCACTGGTGGCATAGACCGTAAAAAAAAAACGAAAATGGGCTACGGCCACCAAGGCAGCGCGTGTTGACGTGATGTGCACACGAATGTGGTTGTTTGGGCACCGGCTATTGCGGGAAAGGCTTATTCTCAACAGCGGCGGATTGCCGCAGGGTTTTGCCACGATTCTCACCGATCAACAAGTCTCCGTACGCACCAGTCGATTGCACACCAATCTGCGAGAATCCCAGATAAATCCCAGATAAAATACCGTCATGTCCAGAACTGCATGTGCCTACACTTTACACCGCAATACTCATCGTGATGCACCTCGTACAGAATACCGAGGTGTCACCGCCATTCCACGCGGCATGTCTGGTCTTAGCCATCGGGCACAGGTGAAAATGGGTCGTACGCTTACCTGTTCTTCGATCTGCGCAAGAAGGCGCGCATTCACCGTCTGCAGCTTCGCTTTCGTCTCTCCGTCCGCCCCCTCCTCTTCCTCTTCCTCCTTCACCCGCATCGCAGCGACCCGCCACGCACACGCCACGCACACGCGATTGACACGCGATTGTGGGGGCAACAAGGGTTTTGTACGTGGTTGGGCACCATGCCACAGCAGTGGTTGTTCCATGTCAGCTGCATCGTGAGCTTGCATGAGTCGGGCACCTCACCGCTGCCCGAGGACATGTTTCACTATTGTACCGAGTGCCGTCACGTGCTGAAGCTTCCCGTGCTGCGGCAACGCGGTGCTTAGACACACCCGTAGTCGAGGTGGACGACCGACAGCACTAGACTACTCACAGACGATGTAGAGAAGTACACATGCTTCCACAAGGGGTCGGCTGGTACCGAGACAGATTCGAAGGTTTACGAGAAGAATTTCCACGATACGACGGAAGAGACCCCGAGCTTAGGAAGAAGTTACTGCTGTAGGGTGTACAATGACACAAGTCGAGGTTCAACTCGCACGTACCCATGGTATTGCGTACATAGCCGCATGGCACTCACCTCGTCCTCCGATCCTGAGGCAAACCCCACGCGCTTGCCCTCTCCAACCCCGTTGGGAACACTCGCTGCGAGTGGTCTGGCACCACTACATCGCGTGGTCGCCCACGATAACCCGTCGATACTCCTCGAAAACCTCGCGACGTTGAGTTGACCACCTGAACCGGGAACAAGCCAGCGACCAACATTACTCTGTGACAGCAAGTGCAACCCAGGTCAGCTACACCAGTTGTTGCCGCAGGTTCATGAGCCGCATGTAGCACTTCAACTCCTGTGCAGCCTTCTTTCACAACTATCTCATTTACCTGGTACAAACGAAAGGACCCTTTTGGCTCCTATCAGGGCGAGGAAGCCAACGAGGGCTCGGAAGGTACCCATCCGAAGCGGCCACCACGAAAACAGCAGCGTGGTTGATTGCTGTTGGTTGAGCACACAAGTCACCAAACGTTGCTGGGGCACCGGGATGTGGAAGGCAACCCTGTCGGTTTGTAAACTGCGGAGCCTCCAACCCGAGCCGGACAAGCTCACCCGCCAGCTCACTGCAGCTCAAGCTCGGACAGGGAGATCGCTACGCCCCATCCCATAATCCATGTCCGACCTGAAGAAGCAGGTGATGTTGATTGTTTGGCTCTAGACTCATCGCCTGTCGTTTCGGCTGTATTTCCATAGTCATATCTTGCTCAACCACCGTCCCTCGTCTGCTCCGATTTCAAACATTCAAATGTCGGTCAAATTTACAGCAGTGCAGCAGTGCCAGGCGTCGACGCGCGTGTTCGTGTATACCGTCACGTGTGTTCGTGTGTACCTTCACCGCGCCGTCCTCATATCAACACGACTTTTTGACAGAATCTCATGTGCACCATCACGTCCACTGCTTTCATAGACGATGACAAGCAGTGAATCATATGCATCATTTTTTTTTTTTCCTTTTCCACGAGTCGGCGTTTGAGAGTCGAAAGCACGTCTTCGCGGACTCCCGTCTACGTGTATGCATTGCATACAATAGATACTGTAGGTTAATGAAATGAAACCACGAGCACACACCCGACACCCGACTGTTCAGCGGTACTAAAGTGGCGCAGGTTTGCACGTTTCCCTTGATACTTCCTGGGCCGTACCCGTCGCCTCAACTTCGGCTCTCTGCGGGCTGCGGGGATTCTCTTGGAAATTGCGAGTACCGCTGTGATAAAAAGTCAGAGTCGTGTGGTATTTGTTTGAGCTGTAACCAGCCATTTGCGTACCCTCGAGCATCCCGTCCCCATGTGTTCCCACTTACCCAACCCTCAACCCCCGGACGACATGTGAGATGACATCGCTGAGGATACTGAGATGAACATCCGACCGTAGTCTATATACATGAAAACTGCTGTGCCCCCGGGCTTCACGCTGCTCACTCAATGATGTGTGCTTGCACATGTCGGGGTCCACCTGCTGCGCTCCTTATCGGCAACAGAGACATCATAAAGGCAGTGGACTGAGCCCTGGAGATCTCAAGAGCGGCGACAATAGTATCGACGGAAGCGGGGGGCTCGGCAATGGGCTTGGGTCACTCCCATCAAAGGAGGCGATGGCATCGAAGGGCCTCGAGGCGAAGGTGAGACGCAATACATACAACCCCCAGCGAACGGATACATTATTCTCCGGAGCTCATGTCAATCTCACGTACGATTGTGAAGGTACGGGTACGGGATCAGAACAAGCCCGACGTTCTACTACCGTATACGACACAAGATAACACACCCCCTGGACCGATTTTCAAAGCTCGATTACTCCAAGACCAAGAGGATGTATAAACGAAACGATACGTTTTCGGAGAGATCTCAACCAGAAGGCTTCAACTCCGCCGTTTTCGGCACCCCTACTCTTCTGGTGTTGATAAATTGATCTTGGAAAGCCGGGCCAGGGGTGTGTTATCTCGTTTCGTACACGGTATTTCTATCTGAGGAGTGAGAGACATTGCATCGCTCCGACCCCGTTCTGTCATTCTCTCCTTCCATTCGCAACACAAAGGTGGACATGGCAACGCACGGCCACCAATCTTGGGCGCTTACGAACCTCGGTTCGTGGCGGAGTCAGTCGTTAGGCGCATCAGGGGAGGGGAAACCCGCCGAGTTTGTCAAGAGCAGGCAGCGCGAGGCCAAGAGGGCGATGTTGGGGGCTGCTGCTGCTGCTGCTGCTGCTGCTGCTGCTGGCCCTGGCGCAGCACCAACAAATGCAACAGTAGTTGAGGAGGGGGCTGATCGTCCTGTACCCATGGTGGTCCCTGCAAAGCCGCCAGAAGAGATGGGACGCAGCGCCATGGTTATCGAGTGAAATCAGCGGAGGTATTAGATAAAGGCCAACCCTTAAGATTGGAGTTGTAGTCCAATTGGTTAGCCTTTATCTGGTAGGAGGTACGGGGTGTCATCGACCGTAGCAGTGATGGTGCAGAGCGGGAGCACGCAGAGCGGCGGCGCTGAGCGTGCGGACGCCTGTCACACTCCCAGACAGATCGTGAATGACATGGATGGAGGTTTAGAATGATGTGTGGACTCGAATACCGTGACGAGCTACACAGCAGTGTGTGAGATAAGGGAGAGGGGGGGGGAGAACTGACAGGCGGCATCAGCATCAACAACTAAATGCCTTAAGTCGAAACGCTGCTACTGCTGCTATGGGTAGTGTGGCAACGTCGTGCGAGTTTGAGGTCATCAGTCCTTCCCGGTTCGAACCGTACGCTTTTTAGAGTTCGATCAGGGGACTTAATTTCCTCCGAGATATTGTGTCTTGTCTCCTGTCTGTTGAAACGACGGCGGCCTAACTCCATTATACAAGTATTGCAAGCACGGGAGTATAGCGTCGGAGAGCGGGAAAGGACGTCGACATGAGGATAGGGATCACATATTCTTCCGGTTGGATCTTAGGAGAAGAAAGTCGTTGTTGATGGCTCGCGCTAACGTTTTCGGTCAAAGGCACTCGAAGTCAGCTCGCCTCGTATGTTTACGCGTGGAATATTACCGAGCGCACAATCCCAGGAGCTCAGGAAGAAACGAATCGACCACACACATCGACCAAGAGACTGATGGACAATGAAGATAAGCAGGAGGTGAAGGGGCGTAACGGACGGGAGAGAGGGCCGTTATCGATATTTCCATGAGAGAGCACCCCCAGGGTATTGGCCTAAAAGCGTTGTGGCGTATTTGCAAGTTGCCGCCCCACCAGGCCAAAAAGAGACATAGAACCCACCGTTTACATGCATGTAATGACTCGCCTCTGTTCAGCTGCAACACTGGTCTTTACGCAAGCTGCGGGTGGGGGTTGGTGTGTTTTGCGTTGCCCTCCTACTGTCGGCATGCCGTTGCACCCTCGAGGCGGGTTCACGCGGACGGGAGGAAGGGCACACAGGAATTGTTAACTTTTGGGCCTTCCGTCTGCGGTGTGCTTGGCTTATTTTTGTTATCGCGAGAATAAGTCGCCCCTTCCTTGCCCCCTGTCCACCATGAAATTTTTGTGTACACACGCTTGTATTCCATTAATCGCGCAGTTCACTTCCGCATGAGACAAAATCCTGCTCCGTTTGACAACATGGGCATTCTAGTTCACACCCATACAACAAGTCGCACGCTTTGGCAACGCTATACGAAGTAGCAGATCCTCGCACAGCTCCAATATATATTGGCCTTTAAAACGCCCAATATGGAAACGATGCAGCCACCTTTTACCTTTCGCAAAACAAGCAAGATTAACACCAGTACCTTTGCCGGGGGGGATGCTCGTCAAAAACGATGAAAAAGAACGCCTGGGGCCAACTCGAGAAGAGTCGCCAAACACAAAAAATACATTCGCAGGAAGAGGGGGGGCGCTCCCCGGGGGGGGGGGGGGGGGGACGCTGCTCTCGTTGTTGGATCAAGCCAGCCCTTACGTCCAAAAGCCAAGGTCAAGAGAAAAAAGGCGGAATGGCAGCAGAACGGGGGCGCATGGGAGGTGCTTCCGGGTGCCGTGTATGTCTCGACGACAACACACCTGTTGTGCGAACAAAAAACACTACTACTTCCCCCTGAGGCCCAACCCTAGCGCACGGGGAGGAGCAAGTTTTGCTTTCGTCTCAAAGAAATTTAGCCCCGGGACCAGCAAAAAAATTCACTACACCTTGAGCAATACTGTGGGGCGGGAGACGGCTCTTGGCTTGCTTCGGTAGTTGCTCTCACGATTGCTGACGTCGGTGCTATCCAGATTCGAAGCACGAGACAGAAGAATCGTCAGGGTCACCCAGAGTGATGTCACGCTTCAACACAGCGAGGTTCACGAAGAAGCACGAAGATATAGTACACAGCAGCAGCAGCAGCAGCAGCAGCAGCAGTCAAAATGGTGCCCTTGGGGCCTCTGAACCGGATTTCAGCATCAAAAGGCGAGGCGTTGCTGCACCGCACGCAAATCACGACAAATTGCTAAATACACTGAGGTCTACTGTACACAACGACGACCTCTGAAAAACCTAGAGTGTTCACATCACAACCAACGCAAACCGACCAAAAACCCATCTACACGACACTTGGCAAGCAGCCCACGTCCGGCAGGGGTCCTCCTTCTCCTCTTCAACCCGGCGACCTGCCGTGCAACGTTCTTCTCACGGCCATTGCATGACCGGTCAGTCAGGTCAACCCTTTCTTGAGTTTCAGCGAACGCTTCGTTCGTCCTTCTTGCTCTTCTTCCAGACCAACACAACGGCACCGAGAGCCAAAGCGAGGAACACGATTGCCGAAAAGCTAACGCTTTGGTTGGGGCTCGTCCCGTCGCCGTCCCTCCCACCGGCAAGCTCCTTCGGCGTTTGCGGCACGGCCATCTCCGCCGCTTGCGGCACAATAAACTCGTCCTTCATCATTACCGGGGGGGGCCTCAAGACATCGCCGTATTCTCCCCCAGGTTTTTCTTGTTGTTTTTCTACTCGTGCGGAAGCGTGCTCCTCCGGGACCGTTTCGCCAACCACGCGGCATTCCTTCAAGTACGATATTTCTGGGAATTCCTCCCTGCGTGACAACGAGAACGAAAAGAGAAGGGCGTTGCTACCTTTCTGTCATGTGACAAAGTGGAAAACTCTTGCTTATCTTTGGCCTCCCTTGTTCGGCGTTTCGTTACCACCATCCATCGTTTTTCTTTGTCGTGTTTTCGACTTGTCAAATTTACCTCATCAACCAAACTTAACCACGGTTGCTTCCGTCTGTTCTAAAAACAATTCTGGGGGGAGTTTCGCTCTTCTCTTCTCTTGATATTCAACAACAGGTTTCCTTCCCCAACTAAATGAGCTCTTGTTCTTTGGCCTCGCTACATGAGCATGTCTGCGCATCACCTTTCACCTCCACACTACTCCTGGTACAAAATGCGCCACTTTCCAAGAACCTCGTTTACGTTGCGAACCTCGTGTCTTATTTCCTCTGGGGGGGTAACTGAACAGCGACGATACAGGTTTCAGCATAGGATTCACTACTGAGCACCTGGTCTTGCGGTAAAGATCTTGAACCCGTGGTATGCTTTCAGACTGAAGTTTCCCGTGTCCTCAAAAGTGGTCGCGGAATCTCTGTATATATCTTTCTCCTGTCCGGAAAATCCAAGTCCCCTACCCCGCAGTTCAGTTTCGGGTTCTTCGCAGAGTCCATCGGTCAATTTCAGATCTTGAGCTTTTATTTTCTACGCGTGGCTCCCGTGTACGTCCTCCGAGCGTTTACATTTTCTCATATCGTTAACCCTTCCCGTTCTTGAACTCTACTGCATCGTCTACTTCCTGGCATCCCTCGACAAACAGTTTTTGTCTCTACCGTATCTCCCTGTTCCTCTAATGCCCTTCCCTAATATCTCTATGGCGGTATCCAATCACAGTCCACAGCAGTTTCATGCTGAGAAGCCTATTTCCTCGTTGAAACCATCGCTGGCAATCGCTTTGTGGTACCTAGCGCTAATTCTCGATGTTGTTTCCACTTCGACCTCCCACGGCCCTTGCTGTGTTCAGCGGAAACATTCCTACTTTTGCTCTGACAACGGTTTCGCACGACGGTAACCATCCTACTTCAGTAGTTTACCGGATGAGGTCATCTGTACCCTTTACGGGTGCCCTGCAAAGGTCGAAATTCTTGTCATAGGTCTCTCGCACGCTCTTTCTTTGCCACGATGACGCTTGTACCTCATTTTCCATCGTCGTGTCAAAGTTGCCGTTTGTACTTCATTTCCCATCGTTGGGTCAAGTTGAGAGTCTGAAAGTACCCCACTTGGTTGTGCGATTCACTAAATGATACGAAGTAGTAGTCGTTTCTGTGGCAGGCATGATCGCGACAAGGGGCGCCGCCGTAGAGAGAGGGGGGAGTGAGGGGAGGGGGGGG